AGATGAATTTGAAGCCAGTGAAAGCTGGATCAAAACTGGCATCATAGTGGCTAGCCAGTCAGCAGACAAGCAGACACTTTCTGAGCCAACTGCCATTTCTGGACAATGTTCAAAGGGAGCCCCATGTAGAGTATATTACAATAGTCCAGTCTGGAAGCCATCAGTCCGGCCATTCTCAATTTTTAATAAACTTCTGTCAATGTGTCTTGCACAATCTAATGGGCAACACCAAGCAAAAAAGGCAAGCAAAATTAGGGGGAATTAGTATCTTATGCTTCCCTTTCGGTTCTTTGCTATTATAGGTCAAATAATTCTATCAGAGTTCCTCTAAGGAATTTTATTTGGGCTAAAGGCAGCTGGAAGTTATTGTGCATGACACTACAAAACTATTCTATTTAAATCATCGGGTGAAAGGATATTATTAGCCCATCAGGAGATCACCATTTTGCAGAGCTGGCAAGGTAGTGACTAACAGGGTAACAAACCATTATCTTAGGGCCCCTACCAATGTATTTTTTTTTAGCTCAGTAATTGCACAGTTGTTACTTGTTTGTTGCGCTGGATCCTGACATTAGTCTTCAAGGTTGCGCTTTTCCCAGTACTCAAGATATAGCGTCTTTTTACTGGGAACGTGCTATTTCTCTGCAGTTAACATGTCCATTTCATTTGACCTATAGAATGTCATTGTACCAGTGTCTAAGCATCTGTTGGATAGTGCCCAAGATTTTGCTAGTGACAAATGACACTACTCTTCCACCACCCCATATCATTCTGTGACCTTTCTTCACATTACCAATTTCCTGTTTTCACCTATCACCAGTTTCCTAGCAGCAGGCCCTTGCAGAGCTCAAGGCTTGCAGGAACAGGTATATTCTCTTTTTATTTCACACTTTAGAGATGGTATACTCTGCTGTTCTACCATTTAAGTATTGACCCTTTAAAAAAATAATAAAAGTGGCAAATATTATTAAGGCTCCTCAGGAATTACCTGCCATCTAATGAATCCTTCATATCTTTTATTTAGATCTTTGAAGGTTTTTGCTTTCAGTCTCCCGGGGTAAGGTCACATCTGCTCAGGCTGATTTTTAAAAAAACAGTAAACATGAGCAGATTCCCCTTAAAAAGGGACCTCCCTAATTTTTTTACCTGGAGACACAGTTTCATGCCACTGATTAATGTTGGTCTTGGTACAAGGATACTACTAAGAGAGAACCTTTTTTTTAATGGTCTGGAAAGGTCCCCTTAAAGGCATGAATGTTGCTTATCTATAAAAGCCCCTCTCATTTTGTCTTGAGTCGAGCAAAGGGCTGGTGATGGATGAAAATGTACATTCAAAGTTGCTCATCTATGAAATTCCCTATAATATGGCACTGGCCCTTCAATTCACAATAGCTTTCACAAGTAAGAACACATTGTATTATTATCTAGCTATTCTAGAGAACCAGTTTGGTGTAGTGGTTAGGAGCGTGGACTCTAATCTGGGAGAACCGGGTTTGATTTCTCACTCCGCCACACACAGTTGCTGGTGTGACCTTGGGTCAGTTGCAAGTTGTTTCAGAGCTGTTCTCTCACAAGCAGTTCTCGAAAGAGCTCTCTCAGTCTCAGCCCCACCTACCTCACAGGGTGTCTGTTGTGGGGAGAGGAAGGGAAAGGACATTTTAAGCCGCTCTGAGACTCCTTTGGGTAGTGAAGGGTGGGGTATAAAGCCAATCTCTTATCTTCTTCTATCTTCTCCAGGGAGAAATTAGGAAATTGACTGAGATTCTTACTTGGACCTCTTTTCCTGATACTGATGCAAGCTTACTTTTGGAGACTTAGAGGACTTATTTATAGGACTTATTTATAGGACACATTTGAATTCAGTCTGATTCTTGATGGGCATATTCTTAGGTTCTCAGCACTCACTATGCAGTATCACTTTCATTAGACATGTGCTACTTCTACTTAATAAATATGGCACAATTAAGGAGAAAAATAATTGCTCTGAACCAAAGTACTCCAATACTCTATGCCAGCATTTCCATGTATGTTCATGTAAGTGCTCTCTCTATGTACATAAAAATACATAAACTACAAGTGTTTGTTTATACTGTAAATTTTAAAAAATAAATGCTCAAGATGTATATCTACCACTGTATCACTGCTGTATCACAAAACATGGGGTTACAAAATGAGAGTTGTGGACTTCCGGTACGGCGCTTCCAGATTACATTGGCACACGCTCATATGCCCATGTTGAGGTTGAGTTGCCAAGTGTAAACACTAACTGTAATTAATCATGTTGTTACATTTTACTGATAATTGGAAGGTTTTGTTCAGCCTACTTCTGTTGACTTCAACAATAGTGAAAAATACAAGTTTACCTTTGTTGTCCAGTGCAGTCCAATATGGGACTGTGCAGACCAGCCACTGGAAGATCTTATAGTTAGCTTATTAACAGAGCAGAAGGAGCCCCTCCCAAAGGGGGAGCCATTGAGACCATTTTCCAACCCAGCAGTGCTCCGGTGAGGAGCTCCACATTCTCCCTCAGTTATCTCTTTGATGCTGCCGGAGAAAGACAGTCCTTTGTTACCTCAGGTTTTTTTGTCTTTAAAAAAATGTCATTGTTCAAGAAGTGCTCCTCTTGTTCAAAGAAGATTACTCCATTTGCCTGTTGTGCCTGGGAGAGAGCCATAAGATATTGGCATGTAAGATCTGCCAGCAGTTTACCACAAAAGCCAGGGCTTATCATGCTGTTCGCCTCAAGGCCGCTTTATGGCAAGAGGCTGTCTGTACAACTGTTAACCTGTCAGCAAAAACATCTGCCCTGATAGAGCAGCCTGTATTCTTGGTCCCCAGACTGGTCTCCAACCGTGTTTCCCACCCTCCATCGGTGATTTCGAACCACTCAGTTCCAAGGTCGGATCCGAACCAAAGAAGTTCTGGGACACCCAAGAAAGTTCTGACCAGGTCATCTTTGGAACCGCCACCAAAGAAACACAGGTTGAAGTCTAAACATAAAACTCACCAGTTGGTATCGACGGAACCAACCAAGCACCCTGAACCAAAGAAGTCGGGTTCAAAGGAACCAGTTCCGAAGACCATTGTTGAGATCGACAGGCATATTGAGATCAGCAGGCATGCACACCCACTTGCCTGTCACCAGCATGGTCTTCATCAGTGTGTGAACTGGCGCCATCAATTGATGTGTCTGCAGAACCACATTCCAGGACCTCTCTCCCCACATTCTCAGTGGGCACATTTAGGACCATGGCAACGATATTCTTGCTGCCACCCTCCTCAGTGTCGTCAAGCACAGTCGGAACTGTTAGAACCATGTATGGAACTGATCAGGCAGATGATGGAACAGCCATAGACACCTGCATACTGGACCCCTTGCTCAGAACTGATCATGTATGGTTCCAAAGAGGAGGAGCAGTGCAGGTTCATAGCCAGTTTGGGGGTGGCTTCAGAACTGTCATCTAATTACACTGTCAGGGACTATGACCCTGTGCCCCCAAGTGAGGACTTACATCTTTACTCTGAACAAATGGTGCAAATGGCACAATCATTAAACAACCAGATAATTTCCATAGACGCTAGACCCTGTGACAGGATCCTAGGTCACTCTATCCTGATACTCCAGGGTTTGTGGCTGTGACGCCCCCATCCACTTCCCTCCCTCAGAGATGAGATTTTCCCTCCATTTTTCTTTCCTTTTTGTGGCTGAGCCGCCCTAGTTATCCGTGTTCTTCTTTCATGAAGAACTCTGGCTGTCCCACCCTGTCACAGTATGATATTTTGGCTGTTGACTCAGCCCAGGAACCTGTTTTCAGGAGGCTGGGACACTCTATCCAGTACCCAAACCCCCTTTTCTAAACACAACAGTTCTCTTCTTGAGTTTTAATCGACTTAATATTTCATAAGGGTGTCTCTAACCACACCAGACCAGGGATCTCACCACTCTTCAGAGCTATCTCCCTGTTTTGACTGGGCAGGGAAATTCCTTCTCTCAGTAGAAGCTCTATCCCCTTTTCTTGGCCTGAATGGGAGTCTTATAACTACCCACTCCTCTTCCAACCTCCCCCAGTTCTCTGTCTGTGTTGAATTGCTTTCAATCAGGGCTGAATTCAGACTGAATTATCCTCAGCATCCACTTCAGAAGTCTTTCTCTGCTCAGCTGATGCTAACCAATAAGATCTCTTGGAGCAGCCTGTCACTCAAGGCTCTCTGGCTCTGTGAGGAATTAACCCTTCACAGTCCTTTACTTGTTTATACAGCATTTTTAAGCTTTTAAAAGTACAGTCCGTGGTTCTTTACTGCCCTGTCTGCTCTAGTGTTACAAGCACATTATCACTGGCTCTAGAAACTTGCCAAAATATCTAGTGTGCAGGTTAATGGGGGGGGGGGGATCAAACCTAGTTCCCTGCACAGGACAATGAAGATGAAAACAGTGTTGTGTTTACCTGTATCTGTTGTTCATCGAGTTGTCACTGTGCAGGCATACATCCCTCCCTCCTACCCTGCTGTGAGCTCTTCTGTTATCTATTTTTTTCCTCTGGCTCATAGCAGTGGCTCAGGAGTACTGAAGGAGAATGCAGAGCCCCTCCCCAGAGCATGTGACAATTGGGCGGGAAAATGGTCTCATGGCTCCCATTGGGAGGGGCTCTTCCTGCTCTGTTACTAAGCTAGCTAAAAAATCTTCCAGTGGCTGGCCTGTGCACCTGCACAATCCGTGTGTGCCTGCACAATGACAATTCGATGAACAACAGTTATGGGTAAGTGCAACACTGTTTTCCTCTGACCTTCATCAGAGTTAATATAGTAACTACAATATAGGGGATGCTCACACTACTTTGAAATTCACATGGTTTGTTCTGTAGCGTCAGTACATTAAAATGTTGAAGGTATTGTTTGTTAATTTAAATCCAGTTCTAGCTTCCAATTGTGGCAGATGTCTTCTTGTTTTCTTCAAGAGCTCAGTAGTTTAAAACTCAGGAGTGCATATATTTTTATTTTAGTTTACGTGTGAACCTTGATATGGGCAAAGCAGCCTATGGATGGATGATTATGAAGGATGACAATATACCTGGGACAGTTGTCCGAACCAGCACCATACCTGAAGAACTGGGACGTCTAGTATATCTACTGACTGATAAAACAGGTACATCTGAGAGTATTTTACTTTGAAATTGAAATGTGATCTGTGGATGAACTCTACTTATAAATGTGGCGGATATATTTTAAGCTGTAACATTTCTTGAAACTACTCAGAATAATTGTAGTGATCTTGATAGCCATTATACAACTCCAGTTACTTAAAGTTAAATGTTTATAACTATGTACTTATTATGACCCAAATTAGCATGCAGTGTCCACTTAGAGACAAATGGAATTTTAGTCCTCCCTTGGCTCTGTGTGAATGAAGTGCTCCAGTAACTGTGGGGATCAGAGGGGCATGCCTGTACTTTGGAAAGCGGTTCATGCATCAACCCAGGATGTAAGAATTAGGTGGCAGTTATAAGTAGATACATAGCAAATGGTAACTATTCCTCCACGTGGTAGCTTTTTGAAGTAGATCATGAATATTTCCATATTACAGAAGGGGGATAGTGAATGACAATACTTTGCTGAGTTGCCACCCATCGAGTTCACAGCAGTCTAGCGATCTGAACCAAGATCTTCTAAGATGTTGATGATTGTTCTGTGTTTTAATGGCTATCAATTAAAGTGGAGGACAGAGAGGTCTTCAGGTCTTATGCGCCCAAGGCATGTAAATTATTATTTAGCAGCAATTTAAAAGATACTTGAGTTGTGGAATAATGTATATATTTTTGCTAATGGTCTGAATGAAATAAATTGACTCTTAAACACAGACCGCCCAAGTCAGTGGTCATTTGATGGCATCTCACTTCACTGAATGCAGGTTTTTCTATATTGAAAATGAAAAGAGAGTAAAGGAAATGGCTTGCAGAATTCTTGCTCTGTGGCTTTAGTTCCTTTGCAAATGATTAAGAATTATTTGTAGAGTTCAAGGAGCATTACATTACTAACATAATTGCAAGGTAGTCCTTTGTATGATTGTAAATTGGGTTTGTGCTTCATCAATAAGGTTTTTGACAAGAAGCGTCCATCACAGTGGCTCTCTCATTTGCCACAACAGAATAGAAAATGAAGTATCCCAATAATTGCATTATAGTTTCCTTATTGTGGGACAAGAAAGCAATGTGGTATAATTAGGTTTGATTGGAGTGCATGTTTCCGGTAAGATCTGAAATTAATGATGTTGCTATAGTGACACATCTGCGGCCACTGGTGCGTGAAACATAAAGTAATTCATTCGACAAGAGAAGACATCTGTTAACTGCAAGGATGCAGAGCATATTGACACTGACCAGAAATACTAGACGTTATGTGATAAATGAACAAATGATGCTGAAACAGGAGGACAGATAATTTGTACTTAATCTGCTGGGAGAACTTTAATCTTCTCACTGGTTGCATTTGACAATACCATTGTTTAAAGAACAATGCTGCAGAGAACTCATAAATTTTAAAACTTAACTCAGGGTGCAGCCTATTAAAGCAATACATTAATTCCTTTGTTAGGGAGTTTTTATCTTCATGTAGAACAAAGCTATTACTAAAAACATCTACTAAAACAACAGGTTCTTTAGGACTCACATTTTAATTATAGCATCCATTACCCAAAATGCCAGGTTGTTTGGACTTGAATCACATATAAGTTTGACAGAAAGGCATCATCCATTATTGGGAGGAATGCTGTTTCCAGTATCTTCCAAGGGCAGCTGAGCATAGCATTTTAGTCTCTCCACGGCACAGGAAGATCCTAACAACAAAGACACACCCGTCCCCCAATATTTGGCAATAGTTATTGAGTGTTTTTGAGATCTAGTACAATACAGCAACTTCCCTGTCCTTCCCAACAGCAACCACAGTATTCAATTATAACAAATACAAACCATTTTCCAAGCACAGTTATTTACTAGTACATAAGCTTGCATTTGAATAGTGCTGTAATTAACATTTTATCGGCTGTGTGGACCAATTGAGATACTTAACACATGTGATAGTTGAACAGATGTATAGACTAATGGAATTCATAATCTTCTGGGGAAGCCCTGTATTAGGAACTAATATGTTAACACTGGAGGGTTAAAATTTATCTAGAGTTAACATATGTTAAGCATTACCCAGAGAAAACCAGGGGCACCATTTTATGAGATTAACTCGGACCACAGTCTTTTTAATGTATCAGATATACAGAGTAGCCATGGTGAGAACAATAACCCATTGGATATACTCATAAGTCTTCTGATTCTTCATGTTAGTCAATCCTGTTATAACTGTGCTAGACGTTAGATTCTGTATGTGCAAGTTTCTCTTGGAGATAATTAACCTCCTATGAATCCTATGTAGGTGCACCATGCTCTTAGAACATGAGTTACAAATTGAGAGACATTGTTTGGCATAACCTCTGAGACTGCAACAGTAACAGCTTTTCCCTTATTAATAAGTCAAATCCTCTTTACATCTGTATTAGTCCAGTATCAAATTTTAAATATGTGAGGACTGCCAATGGGAGAGGAACCTGTGGGCAGCATGTGGTGAGTAGGAAAATACTAAAAGAAGAATTGCTCTTACTGTTGCTTTTGATAATCATTTGAATACTGCCTCTTCCTCCAAGGGGCTCATAGCAACATATATGAGATGATCTCATTTTATCCTTATTATCCTGTGAGGTGAGTTAGGTCTCCCAGTGAACTTGATGGCTGAGTGTATTTCGCATATCTGAACCCAGTCAATATTCTGCACAGGCTTTCACTTATTTGGAAGACACAGCATTTCAGCCAGTTGCATGAGCTTCTTTTTCAACCTTTTTTTTTTGTGATCAGAGTTACAAAAATAAAAGGTGGCCTCTGTAGTCTTTTCCCACCAGCTCAGGGTCTCTAGTAAACATTTTTAAATGGCCCACCTATTATTTGTCCTGCATAGAGAGACACAATTTAAACTTCTGTTTATTAATTTCCACACTGGAGCAGCATCTAAGGAACTTTCAGAAAACATGATATTATACAATATAAAACCTGGGTATAGTACATGTAAACCTTGACATATGATATACCACTCACAGTAGAATGAGCTAGATAGCATGTAGAAGTGTACATACATTAACAGAACTGCATCTTTCAGACTAATGGATGCACTTTTTTGGGTCACACAGCATGACAAACCTTGGGGGGGGGAAGTATCTAAATCTACTATTGCTCTTTGAGTTAAACTTTGTATTCGCAAGGCATATGAATTCCTGGGTTTCAGGGTACCTCAGAACATTACTGCACATTCCACCAGGGCAGCAGCAGCATTGACTGCTTTTTCTACTAGAGCTCCAGTGAATGAGAGCTGTAGGGCAGCAACCTTGTCATCCTTTTCTATGTTCGTAAGGCACTACAGAATGGACCAGCTGAACTCTACTGAAACTGCCTTTGGGAGGAGAGTCCTTCAACAAGGGTTGGACTGAATGAATGCTCTAGGTCAGGGGTGTCAAAAATGAGGCCTGGGGACCGGAACTGGCTCGTCTAGGGCTCTTATCCAGCCTGCAAGCAACTAGTGCAAGAGTGGGAAGGCAGGAGGCTGTTTGGGGGCGGGGGAGCAAGTATGCAGGCGCACACGGTGAGGTGTGTGTGGTCAAAGCTGTCAAGAAATTAAAGGAAATGGCTAAGGGGCAGGTATGGTATCCCTTGGAAAAACCTAGTCTTGCATAAGATTGAATACATTTATTGGGGCTTTTATGGATTCCCCAGTAAATCAATTGCTTTCACTCCTAGGGATCAGTTGGGTTTTTTTTGTATTTTGAGTAAAAAATAATATTGTTAATTGGGTTTGCCTGTGTCATTTATAAAGTTTATATCTCTGTATCTGGCATTTCATTTCATGGCAAACATGGCCCGGCCCGACAAAGTAACTTTTATGTCAGGTCTGGCTCTCATAACAAACGAGTTTGACACCTCTACTCTAGATCTCCCTCCCTTTACTTAGCTTGGTTACATAATCAGTTTGGATTACTTCCCCCGCTGAAGGAGAATGAAACATTGGACCTACCTGAAGTTTTCTTCTCTTCAGTGGGGCAAAGTCATCCATTTTTCCCAACATGAAAAAAAGAAAGAAAAAGAACTTAGTAAAGATGATATATTTGGAAGTGGGCTATTTGATGACTGGAAGGGCAGCCTGGCGCTGTCTCAGGAGAGTCATACAAAATTTGCATAGCCCTGCCTGGAGCGAGAGGAGGCGTGTCCTAAACAGTTTGGATGACTTCACCCCACTGAAGAGAAGAAACCTTCAGGTAAGTTGAATATTTTGTTCTAGAAGAAACATTGAACTTTGGTTCTTTAGCTTTTCTTTCCTGAAGGGTCTGCAGCTTCTCTACAAATAATATAAATATGGACTGTTGAGTGTGCATCAGTGTTCCCTCTAAGCTGAGTTAGTGTGAGCTAGCTCACACTAACTCAGCTTAGAGGGAACATTGGTGTGCATTCTGCCGTTTTTGATTCAGCTCCTGTGAAATCTCCTACTTTGAAACAGAATTCAGAGAAGGATTATTTAATACTTGTCTGAGCTTCAAAGTGTTTGGTTCTGTTTGCTATTTGTCATTTATTTTTCAGTGTTAAATGGTGGACTTAGGAATGTGACAGTCCTTGTTATTTAAAAGGTTCTTTGTGTATATTTTAATCTCTATATTCTGTTCTTCTGGACTGTTTTTCTTGTGGGTTAGAGAAGGAACTATGTGTCATTTATGGGTAACATAGTCATCAAACATAAGGCTCAGGGGGCTTAAAATGGCCTGCAGTGGCCATACCATACTCCACAGATATTACTAAACCATCATCAGAGTTAGGAAACCGATGTCCTTAGTAGCTCCAAGATGCTGACTCCACAATGGTTGATACTACATGCTTCAACATCAGCCTTTCTCACCATTCCCTGGTGTTGCAGGGTTTCAAGAGTACAAGAGAGCAACATGAAATGTGTTTGAACAGTGCAGAGTATGGAATTTGTAGTTTGTTCCATTTAGGAAGACAGGTAATGACAAGAGAGCTTACATGGTGGGAAGTGGGAGCTTCAATGGGGCAGGTGCTGGTGGGT